GTCACACACTACTAGGCTCACTAGCCTAGATCACACTCACACTCAATCATAGCCATCGATATCCTCATCTACGGCTCCATATCGGCGGCCCTCTCAACCGCCTAACCTCCAAGGTTAACCGCCTAACCGCTGTGCACGCACGCCGGCGCTCACTAGTTCAAACCCTAACTCGGTCCGAACCCTAATCACGGAGTTATCCGGCTGACCATAATCACCGGATTCTAACAAGGAGCCTTTGTAACAGCCCCATAATTCACCACTTTTGAGGATCGCCTTTTGATAACACCTTTTGACCACCTCCACACCGCATGCAACATGTCTAAAGTTTCCCAGAGTTAAAGATTTCTCTAAAATTTGTGTTGCTCGAAGTAAAATTGGTGTTGTTATGAGGTAAATTCCCATTTAGCCCGGGAATCCTTTGAATCTTGCCCGTTCCAACCCCGGCCGATCCCAAGACGAACGCCCACTGAGGAAACCCCGTAAAGTTTCCAAATCACTCACAGAATGTAAAGGATAATCTTGGGACGGCCGTGCGACCGATCAAACGGTAGTTGCCCCAATTATCCGGGCTCAAATAAAGCACCCTAGCTACCTCGTACCTTCATTGCCTTACACACCGGTCGAGATCAGATTTAACGCATCCCTAGGACATACATCACGTATCTGCAAAGTGACAAGACTTTCTTCGGTCGATGTTGTACACTTGTGCAGCTCAACGGAGCCGCTCATTTCTGCCCATAGGGTGCCCTTGTCCTCAACCGTGAATTCTTGGCTACTTGCTCCGAAACATTTCGAGGGTCTCAAACAAGTAGGCTCTTCTCCCAAGTCAGATCTGGGAGCTACCCGACTCGACGAGCCACCTGTTGGTAGACACCGTCTCTGATGACGCTAAAGGCCACCTTCTTGGAAGGTTCCCCCCCTATTCTGCTCCGCCTTTGCTCGCGCTTGTCCCGCTTGCTGCACATAGCAACGTGACCGAACTCCCCGCTATTATTATAGCACTTAGGCCGCTTGCCCCGCCTCTCATGCTTGCCTTGGTCTTTTTCCTTGTCTCATTTCCGCCTAGCCATATAGGCCACAGCGGAGTCCAACCCATCGCCGCCCTTTTGCTTGGACGACGCCTCAAACTTCTGCTCATGCACCAAGAGCTTTGGCAGAATCGCATCCACCGAGCTTATGGCGCTCTCCGAAGTCTCTAGTATTGTTTTCAGAATACTGAACGTCTCGGGCAATCTCGCAGATACGCTTCTCGCCAATCCGTCCGGTTTCATCTACAAGCCGGTGGCGAAAACCCTATACAAGTCCTTTTCCCGACCCACTAACATGGTCACGAGCTCACCCGCCTTCATGTTAAGACATGCAACTCTTACCAGAGCTACAATCTCCTTGAATTGATTTTGCTCTTGTAGGTCGTCTCAAGGAGAGTCCACAGTTCCTTTGCGGTTCACCCGCCTCAATCGACTTCAAATGGTGGTCTTCTTGACGTTAAGCCCGATCATGGACAACGTTGTCTTTCATTGAGCTGGGGGGGGTCCGGAATGTTCAACTTCATCCGAAAGATCCTTCGAATTCAGAAGAGAATAAGAGTTCGAAATCCACGTTCATTACTTTTACACGTCGAACTTATCGATGTGGATCTTGTAATCGTCGGCCGTTTCAGAAATGCGTTCCCCTCCTCTCTTTCTCAAGTCTGAAGACCCGTAATTTATCTTTTTAAGCTCACCTTCACCTTCACCTTCACCTTCTTTTTCTTCTCACTTATCCCCTTGACGAGCTTTACAATGTCGTTTGGCTCTAAATAAAGCAACCACAATAAAGCAGACCGCCCCCACCGATGCCTTTATTGACAAGAGAGAACCATCGGCCGACCTTGGCACGAAGCCGTCAATTATCGCCGTTCAGAAGGCCTACCGTTTGAATGCTTGCCGCCCCTCACTCCCTAGGGGCCGTCGTGCGCCGTGGTGCGCCGTGAGCCAATAATCGAAAAGACGGCGTTGTTGGGATAAGTGATCGAATGATGAAGTTCACACAATGTATATATTGAGTGCTTGGAGTCTAACGGCGCTAAAACTATGCAGTACGGTGTGCTATGCTAGACTCACATAAGTAAAGCCGCACTCCTGGTCCGGGTCCATCCCTAATAGCCTAGTAGGCTCAGTTGACCGCGGACATAAGCAGGTTCAACATTTTCGCGCAAATTTGGACATTGCGGCTATTATTGAACCCACTCACAACGGCGCTTACTCAATACGTCATTTGGGGTAACGCTGTAATGCGCGCATTAACCAACCGCCAATTGCTAATTACCGCGTTATCGTCGAACTTCTGTCGACGTCATCCACGAGGTCGCGGATATAAGATACCCGACTCTCAACAAATACCACTACCAATGACACATCATTTTTGTTTTTGAAAATGTGAAGAATATGATGCATAGTAAGACGCTCCGTGTTTTTTGAAGGCATGGCTGCCATTAACGAGTAATGGTTTTAGTGCCGAGCAACACGATAAGACTCGATGACGAGTGGACAAGTACACTACTAGTCCCTTACTGACCCTGAGTTTCAACACGCCATTTAAGTGCCTTTCAGCAAGCGTTTTGATGAAGGATGGATCGAGGATGAGATAGCAATCCTTCTTTATCGTTATTAGGAGAAATCAAACACAACACTAGTCCATAGTATCAATCTGTATGTGAACTAGAGGGAACCCTAGAGAATTCCGGAATGTGGTCAATAACATAGTTAGCATGCGTTTAACCCTCAAGCACATCATTACGAGGACCTCTTATTCTATCTTTGATCTTACGATTTGAGCCTTCGTTTGTACCAAGGTTAGCTTGAATTATTTAGGTGCATGATACGCGAGCTTGAAATGTGTGCCATATAAAGCAATGTTTTACAAAGCTCGTTTGCTTGCAGCCTGTGCTTCTCGTTTAAATGACCGTCCCCATGGTTTCGACTCTTCTGAATAAGCATTTTTCTCTCCTTCTTTTGAGAGCGGTCACAGGAAAGGGTTGTAATCCGTTCTCAAACCCTCAGAGGGAGTGGCGTAATCCAAACACACCACCACTATTTTGTAATTTTACCAGGCCCTTGCATCACAGGCTAAGTGGCCGGTTGCATAAGCGGACAGTCACGCAGCGCGGTACGATACATACCATACGTGATTAGGCACTAAATTTAAATACCATCCAATTCAATTGAAAGCAAGCGCGAAAAATCGATCTAGGTGGATTGCCAGAAAAAATTATGTATGGAAAATCTGCTAAAACGGTACCGCAACCATCAATATTATTTGAATCTGACACCGCACGATCGCAAGTCGCAAGACCATTTTTTGGGGAGAAAGGATCCTAAACACTTTCGGCAGACTGCACACTGACTAGAAACTGGCCACGAAGTGGGACAAGGCCACTGCCGAGAGCTTGAAGGTGGCGCTCCATGGGTACGAATAGCTCCAGAGCTGCAACACTTACAACGCAGCTTATAGATTGTCCAACCGGCATAGAGTTTGTAGCCAGCTTATCCCTCAGCTGAAAGTTAAGGCAACCGAGACATTCTTTAGACCCTACCCAGTGTCGTCCTAGTAGCCCTGCTGTACTGCTCACAAATGGAGATCTTTGCATGCTTCCAATGACAAACGCTACGCTTTGCAGCCTTTGTACATAGTGGAAACGGTCACTCTAATC